AGAGGGAGGGGGGAAGAAGGAAGCATTTTATATGGATTGAGACCAGAAAACGGCGGACAGAGGGATGTGGAGAGAAGAGAGAAGGATGGATGGATGAAATGCCTTTTATTCTTTAGAATAAAAAATGAGAATGGCTGTTTTTTCCATCTACACTTTTTGTTGGCTTATCTGGCATGGAGAGGTATTTGTAAGATATGTCTCAGGGGACATGGCGGGCTGGCTTTTATAGAGACGCAGGTTTTATTTTATTAAATAAAATTTTGTGGGAACCGTATTAGGATTAGCTCATGCATTTCGACTTAGATGGACGATCTCTTCCTCGGTAGATGCAAGAGAGTGGTTGATAGGCACCACTATCTCCGTCTTTCGGTTAAGATCTTGTGTGCTACTCAGCATGCGTTAACCGTGACAGACGAGGAACAAAATAGCCCGCCTCCTAATGATCTTAAGTAAATCAGAGAGGGTGACAAATATCTACGCTCAACTCTATTGATGCCATGGTGGGCCCATTGCTTATAAAAGTTGTTTGAATCCCCGTTGACGCGTTCCAGAACATGGTTTGTTTTGTTAATTTTTGTTTTTGTTTATCCTTTTTTAGGGGATGGGGGTGGGTGGGTCTCGTTGAGTCTGAGCTGTTTGTTCCCTCAGTGTCTGTGTGGCTGCAAGTGCACTGGGTATGTTGTACATTGTGATTGTCCAATTTGAGGTGCGTACATGTCAGATTCAATATTCACGTGTATAATTGGTGGAGGTGGCCAGTTGTTCCTACTTTCTTTCTTTTTTTTCTTCTGTAATTCTGTTTTCTTCGTCTGTCTATTTGAGAACCCCCCGTAATAAAGATAAACACCCCAAATTTTTTCTTAACAACTGCAGACTTTTTATGTGCTTTTTTGTTTACTCAGAAACAAACAAACTGACCAGCACAGGATAATTTACCCAGACTGTCAATTATCAGGAGGTTACTGGAAAGCCCCACTGGTAGGTCTTACTTCTTTCATTTCCCTCGAGTTTATTTCTTAGATCTAGCTTACCCCTTTACTGCTGTGAAAGGTTCGTTATCTTATTGATGTGCATTTATTTATTCAGACTAAACTGTCAGTTTTTCTTATTAAATTTTCACTCAAACTCTGTTATTTTCTTTAGAACTCTCTGGAGTGAGTAGTGGGAGGGTGCTCTGGCCTGGTTTGCCCCTCCTTTGCTATCAAATATCTTACGCCATTATCTTTCCTTTTTCTTTGCTTTGCTTGTTTATCTCCAGTAACACCTTTAATCTTCGGTTCTTATGTGACCAAATTGTGGGGCAAGTGCCGTAAAACTCTTACTAAAACTGAAACTAAAACTTTGGGGTGTTTTCTTCCTCTTTTTTTTTGGTAAGTGTTTTACGGCGCGCGGGACACAGCTAACATTTTCAGCTGGTAGGAAATTTTGAATTTTGCCCAGGTGGCGGCCGAAGCCTACTCTTATCGATTTTAGACCACCAAGGGAGCTCTAACGTATGAAACTTGCACTCGGGCCCGCCGAGATTTTTCTACCTTGTCCGAGAAGGCTAGGTGTAGATGTTTCCTACTGGAAGATCAGGGGTGTGGCTGAAAGACAGCAGTAAGAAGGAGCCAAGGAGTAGCAGTAGAAAGGCTGCAGAAAGAGTCACGAGCCCAGAGAAGGGGGCAAAAGAGGTGAGGGGGTGGGAGCAGAAAGAAGAGACGAAATCCGACGACAGAACATTGCTAGAGAGCAGGAAAGGAGGTGAAAGAGGAAAGTTTTAGAGAAGAAAATTTTTCGGTCGCTTCCCGAATTCGAACCCGGGACCTTTGAATGAGAGGCCAACACCTTAACCTCAAGGCCACGAGAGACCCCTTTCTTCCTCTTTGTGTTTGTTTCCGACGTGGCCGCAGTAGCCTTGCAGAATCACAGATTTGAAATTGGCGTCGTTGAGCCAGTACTAGAACATACTGTTCCATACCAACTCGTATGCAGCTCATGTGTCCCATCCCAAACGACGCGAGTGGGTACAATACAAATGCCACAGCCTAAAATCACTTGCAATTTTAACCCCCCCCACACACACACACTTTTCCAGTAGCAAGTGCGTGTCATACACTGCTTGTGTGCTCTCTCCACCTCGTTCCCCCGTTCCTCAAGTCATAGTTACTGTAATTACTTCTCTCATTGCTGGTCGTTGGCACATACTTTCCTCGGGGTTTCTGCTTCAATTTCCCTTTTTAAGTGCTGCCATTTTTGCCAATCATTTCCTAGCGCTTTTATGGTATGTCAGAGTCCAAAGAACTTCATGAACTAACTTTATGCAACTCGCTTCTCTTTCCCCTGTTCGCAAAAGCATCATTCAGTCCCCCTCCTCCTCCTCCTCCTCCTCCTC